CGGCGGCCCCGGCCCCACGTTGAGTTGATCGGAGCCCCCAAGTTCTGGGAAATACCCGCTGGGAGCAACCTCCGGGCGCAATCCCGCACGGGGCAGGGCATTTTCCGCCCGGTCTCGGGATGCAGGGCTGCGGGGAACGACTGGGGGAGACGGAGGGCATAATGCTTTCCAGAGCTTAACTTGTCTTCATTTTGAGCCTCGCTCTCTGCCCCATGTTTGATCTGTCCAACTCGCTGTAGCTGATTACAGCGAAAGGTCGGAGCTGTTATCTGATGGGTGCCCAACTTCCACATTTTCATGATGCGAGGCACTTTGCAACTTTCAAGAGCTTGTACGAACTGCTTTGGTGGGGGCAGGGTGTTCTGCAAAGGCACTGGCCATGTACAAAGACTTGATTGACGGGAAGGATGCAGAAGATGAGAATTTTCCTCCCTATTTTTCACATTCATGGCAGGGACTGACTCCCACATTATGACCCTCTTTTTCAATCTGTGTTCAGCAGCCGTCCCATCCCTTCCGAATCCAAGCACATGCAGTCACCATACTTGCAAGAGGCACGTTCACTCAGAGTACCACCACGTCCCTTCAGCGCTGTACATTTGAATAACTGCAGTTACAGATGTCTAGCATCATGATAAGAGAGAAGAAAAACATTGTAAAATCCCCATTTTCAGATAAGGCTTAAAACATTACTCTTAGTGAACTTTAGTCATTTCCGATTTGTTTCACTTGGGCCCTTCCCTTGAAGCCACAAGTGAACACATGAAGTGTTTCTTATGTGGATTAAATCAGTTCATGCCATGTCACATTTGATGTTTTGCATTTGTTACATTTTTTATTTCATATTGTTTTTAAGAAATGATCATCCTAACTTCCCAGGTATATGGCATCCAGGTTTGAACTACAAAAGTTTTAGCCGTATTTATTTATTTACCTACTTTGTGTTCTATTGACTAAGTACTGGCTTTACAATGTATGAACATCAAAATGCTAATGCTTAAAACAGAAATTCTGTTCCGCGTAAACATCCGTCAGGCTGTTCCGGACTTTAGGGCATTCAGAGACTGGCTAGTGATTCCTGAACCATCTATAAGATTAAAGATTTTGGGGTACATCTGAAGCTTCAAATAAAGGATAATAATGTCTATTCCTTTACAGTTGCATGTTCTATTGGAAGGCTCTCAGAGCTTGTCCGTGGGTAGCCCACACATTAGGAAGGGAAGCATGTGGAATAAACTTTGAAAAAGTGGGGCCTGATCACTTACCATGATTCTAAGAGCAGACAGCCTACAATTTTAATGCAAACGCACGGTACAGAGAGCTAGAAGGGTGGGATATTATAAGAAAACTTTTAGGGCACAGCAGTTTAAACTTTGGAGAGTGAAAAACAGAATGGGATATAATCAGATAATATCTTAGAGCTCAGCTTGTCTAAATAGAAACTGCAGGATCAGTTTCTCAGCATGGAAGTTTTCAACTGCTGGTCATTTCTGCATGCTGAAGAAAGTAATTTTTGCCTAGAAAACTGCTGACCCAGTAAATAAGCTTTGACAACAGTCTACATAAACCCACTTGAAGCAGTAGTAAAATAATTTTTCCTATGGCCTGCTGGAAACTCGGTGTAGCCTGATTCTTTTCTGTTGGTGTAGTTGCACTCTGCCCTCACCAGCCTGAAGGAGGACAGAACAGCGACAGAAACAAAGCATTGACAGACAGTGTGCGACAGCAAGAACTGAACAATGTCTTAAACAATTTGGGGCTACATCTGCCAGTCATTGAGCTCCTTGGTCAAGATCCAGCAAAGCAGACAAGCATAAATGTACAAACAAGTGACTTCCTTGTCACTAGCCACAGGTTTAAAATTAAGCAAGTGCTTAAAGGATTGATCCAATAGTCTTTTTATTAACTTCCCTGGGGTTTGGATGAGGCCCTCAGTGGCAGTGTCAGGTCATTGCAAACCTTGCAGAACTGAGCTCAGATGCTTTCCTTTAATTTTTGCTGATCTTTTTTGGCAGAAGCTATAACATTACACAAAGAGGCAAGGAAGAGAGCTCCTTAAGAAAGTTGATTTGAAGAAAATTACTGCTTTATCCCCTGGTATTATCAGAACCACCCTAAATTTCAGAGCTTTTTAAAAATGGAAAAAATATCATGCATGAATAGTTGGGGCTAATATCACAATAAATATTTGTGCCTCTTTTCATGCAGGGATGTGTAAATCCCAGTTAACTGTTTGACATCACTAGAGTTTTGTTGCCATAGAAGCAGGATGAGACCCATCTCCTGGGATTCATGTCCTTAGCTGCATTCGGCAGAAGGATGTGAAGAAGTCGTGCAGTAAGATCACGTAAAATTAAAGAAAACAGCAAAACTTATATCAGTTGGGCAACAGTCTCATCTGTTGTATTTATTCCTTGAATACTGTTCAGAGAGATGCCATCTCCAGACTTAGTCTATAATTTATGTTACCCAAAAGGAAGCTGACTCCACGTAAAAACCCTGGAGGGTATTCTCAGGTATCCTTTTGAGCCCTCAGAGAGACAAAATTCCCTTTGATTCTAGCAGCGCTACAGTCAAAAGACTGCAAGATCAGGTTTACTAGATAGGCTCATACATTTTCGGATTTATGCACAGATCCTTTATGGTAATGCTGGGGTTTTTCAGTAATTTAGAGGTAAATCCACAGGTTACATGGGTTGATCAGGTCACTTACAGTTGCTTATTGTTAAATCTTAAAAATCTTGTTGGAAAAAGGTGTTCTCTTCGTGGAAAAGAAAGTGTTGCTACATGTCGTGGACAACATAGAATTACTGAAAAATGCCAAGAATATTACAATAGGTCCTCGGACTTTGTAGTTTTGGTACCCACCAGTATACGCAGATAGACAATTACCATTTCTAAGAAATAGTGAATCCAGGCATCTTTTTGAAAAAGTGCAGTCCTCAGTCATGTAAGAATCATGTTATGGGAGAATTATTTCTTGTATAGAGTTGCATGGATTAAGACTCATGAGTGAGCAATTTACATTCTGTCCAGCAGAAGAAAAATGATGGACTACATGGATACTAATGTGCTGATAACACACTAAATGTCTTTACAGCAATGAATACACATGGGTGATACAGAGATTGTCATGATTATGCATTATTCTTTGCAGAAAAATAAAAAATTAGCAAATTTTCTGATGCGTTAACTCCTTAAATTTTAAGCTTTATTTTTTAAGCAAAAGAAGAGCAAAGTTCTGCTCCCTCTCAGGCCAGAAGGGGGGGGGGGATAGACCCTTCACTTTGCTGAGAGAAAAAATGAGGACATAATACATGTTCTAACTTGGCCAATCTTTTGTTTTGTTTTTCCTTCTCCTTCTTCTCATTTGCATGTTTTCAAAGTACATTTGCCTTCTCCAATAATTCTTTCATTCTCTCAGGGAGCCAGTGGATGAAGTGCTCCAAATTCCCCCTTCACTGCTGACATGTGGTGGCTGCCAGCAGAACATCGGGGACCGGTACTTCCTGAAAGCCATCGATCAGTACTGGCACGAGGACTGCCTCAGCTGCGACCTGTGCGGGTGCAGGCTTGGAGAAGTGGGGAGACGGTTGTATTATAAACTGGGCAGGAAGCTCTGCAGAAGGGACTATCTCAGGTATATAGCTTCCCTAATCCACTTATCCTACCCTAGCTCCCCTTCTTTCCGTCATTCCAGGTTTGTTCATTAATATAGTGAATGCAGAGGTAGTGAACAAAGATCCATAAGGGATTCACTTTGATTACCTCTTCAGCATAAAGGCTGACAGTAGTCACAGTTGTAACACAAAACACCATTTGCTAAGTGATGCTGCCCCATCTGGTAGCTCCAAGCTAACTTTGCAGTATCAGCACTTGCATGGCAGTCTCTTAGGAGGGAATTGGGAAAAGGTGATGAATTTCAGTGAGAACGACTCTTCCCTCCAGGTTGACAGTAAGCCAGTTCCCTGACATGGTTGTAAGTAGTTCTGTGCTTCTGCAAGTATTGCCTTTGACTTGAAATGTAGATAAAAACAGGTGCCAAGATCAGCTACTGATGAAAGATCGTTCAGTTCTCTCATTTAAGAATATGGTATTCAAGGTAAATGAATTCAATTCATTTTCCCAATGCAGTAATACCACCTAAATAAGAGATGCTTGATTCCACTGATCAGCTGGGCTGCTGCACTTGTATGGTTTCTGAAGTGACTCTTTTGTAAATGGATTGATCCTTGTCTCTTTTAGCATCTCTGGTAAAGTTCTCTAGAACACTTTAAGCAGAAAGACACTATGTGCCATATGCTTATTGCAAAGCTACAGCTCGGTACGAGAAAGTTTGATCCTGCTAACTAGGACCCAGCAGATTTTAGCATTCTTAAGCCTGGACCTGAATAGATGTGAACTTAAACCTTTTGCTGAATCAGATCCTACAAACCCAGCTGTTATAAATATTTTCATTAATATCTCTCTGCCTATGTGATTTGTCAAAATTTGTAAGTAGAAAGATTACATTTAGATTGATATTTTTCCCAACAAATTGATAATATAGGATCTTTATATTCTTGATTACCATAGATACAATTAAATGTATTGGTCTTTGTGTGCTGATTGTACGATAAAGGATCGCTAGTGTTACAGGAAGTTTGTGGAATAGAATAAAAGCATTTTATATTTTTTCAGCTACCTTGCTGATGTTTACTTTACCTGCCACTAAAAACTAAAGCAAAAACTCACTGGGGTTCCTAATTATTGTATCCCAGAGCTTTTCCAATGGGAATTTTGCCAAGCAGAAATTGAAAAACTGAGTTCTGCTTATGGGACAAATTGTAAATACTCTGCATATACAACATTCCAGCAATGAACCAGTGTTAATTACACTTTCCAAATACTTTTCATCTTAAAATAGAAGCAATAAACCACGTGGAAATACAATTCATGTATTTTCCTGCAGTGAAATTGAATGTTTTTATTTACTGAATAATGCGACATGTATTATCTTTATTACTAAGAAAAATTGCAGCCTTTCTATAACCTTTTATTGCGTTCTTTGGGCAGAAGTGAACACTGACATCTCCTGGTAGAAAAAATAAATGATGTATTTTCTCCTTAAACATCTCACCTAATTTAGTGGGTCTTCCTTTTCCAACTCAGAAGGCTATATGAAGCAAATGCAGTATATGTAACAAAAGTGTAGGAGGTGGACAAATGATTTCCAGAATTATTATGGAAACTTAGAAGTCAAACTTAATAGGTGTGTACTTTGAACAGGCAATATGTTGCATTTCTCCCTCTTTCTTTCTTCTTTTGTAAGCAGAAAATGATATGTTCATGCTTATTTAGTAATGATTGGTCTTATAAACTCTGTAATCAGCAGACTGCATGAAAGGCTGGCGTTCATGCTGTCATCATGCATAGCTGAGCATGTCAGACTGTTCCAGTCGAGAGTGGTAATGCATGCTATGAGAGGCCTATGCAGTGCGTTCATTAGAGGCTCCTTTTAATAGACAACACAATAATGATGATCTCAACAGGGTTTCTTTATTTGGATGAAAGAGCAATCCAGATCATAAAATTATCTGGGCCAGCATAGGTGTCTAGAGGGTCTCAGAATGTATCCTTCTGAAACTGAGCAGGAGTGATTTCATGTATATAAAAATTTTTGAGTTTGAAAGAATCTCAAATGCAGAGGCAACAAAAACACAGTGGAATATTAAATCACAGCATTTGCCAACTTTCTGTAAACTGTACAATAGCAACAACTCAAGACAGGCAAAATTTATCAACTGAAAGGTGATTTCTAGTGACTGTACAAGTGGAAGCAAGTATTAGTATGGCACAAATTTATGGTACTATCCAGAGAACTTTCACTCCTACTGAAGCTGCTCAAAACTTCAGGATATGGTTGTTGATCACAAAAATCAATTATATTGAAAATAGGTGAGGACCTTGAAATTGCTACTTGAACTTCTGGTATCGCAAAGTTTAGAGCTCTGCTCAGCAGCTTTACCTCTTATGTATCTTGTCAATGCTATGACTAATGGAACAAGGCACTGATGTTGTGTCCTTTTTTTGTTTTTCCCCATCTCTCCTGCAATAGAAATCTGCTTACTTCTTTGTTGTTGTTGTTTTAGGCTCTTTGGCCAAGATGGCCTCTGTGCCTCCTGTGACAAGCGAATCCGGGCTTATGAGATGACCATGCGTGTGAAGGACAAAGTGTATCACCTTGAATGCTTCAAATGTGCTGCCTGCCAGAAGCATTTCTGTGTTGGGGACAGATATCTCCTCATCAACTCGGACATAGTATGTGAACAGGACATCTATGAGTGGACTAAGATAAATGGGATGATATAGCAAAGACATGCCTCATAGTCTATAAAAGACTTCTCACAGGTGACACAGATGCATAGCTGCAGTGAGGAGATAATCACTTGAGCTATGTGCTTTGTCTAAAGTGGGGGGAAATACCACAGAGTAGGCCCTTTTCAGGCAGCGTGACGTAGAATCTAAACTACATATAAGTGAAGAAGGGAGACTGAAGCAATAGTAGGTAGACTGACTTCTGTTAACAAAGGCGTGTTGACAATAACTGACATCAGCCATGTAGGCAAGAGTTGGGGAACAAACACAACGTGATAATGAATTCTCATAACTGGAAATACAGTAGTGACTTATGTAAAGAGATGTTATGACTCCGTCACCTGCAGACTAGGATTGTGCAATTGATTTTTCTTTTCATCTTTTTTAGTAACTCAGTTTAGACAACAGCTCCTAATGTAGACATAAGGAAAGATACTGGAAAAAAAGGGCCAGTCATTTATGTGGTCATTCTGCAAGGCCTGACACTTTGGACAGGAGAGAAAGCAGGAAGAGGGTAGGGGTTATTTTTGCATGGATTTTTTTTTTTTCCCTGTGAGAATGAACAGTGCATCCTCTGTTCTCAAACTGTTTTTTAAAAAAT